AGAGAGAGAGAGAGAGAGAGAGAGAGAGAGAGAGAGAGAGAGAGAGGTAGAGAGAAGAAGAAGAAGGTCAACTTTTTTCGATAAATGAATTATCCGTCATTTAGTATTCGACGAATGGTAGCTCGCAGCCGGAGAGTCGTGAATTTGTGTCCGAAAGCCCCGGATTTCGCTGTCGCAAGAACCATCTTGCGAAGCCTGGACACGCGAACACTTTAATAGAGCATGCATGTCGTGTGAATGCGCGAAGATGCAGCATCTTCGAGTCACTGAATGAATGATGACGTGCGCGTGTATGTGTTTCTCGACATGTGTTTTACACAAGCGAGATTCGCTGCAGATATAGATTCGAGGCCTAATAAATAGAAGCGATTGCGGAGAGAACTGTCATAGCTGCTACAACCACATTATTTATGGCTAGAAAAGAAACTTACGTGGATTCAAGTTGAACAAATATTGCATCAAAAATTGCTATCTGTACAGATCACGCGTAGCCATAGTTCCTATGACACGCAATGTTCAATTAGTACATTCTCATGTACAGTTATTACAAGAATATTGCTGTCTCTCTGTCGCGTCCTGCAGAACGGATGCCATAATCGAGAGACTATTCGTGGGGTTTGGTGACACCACTGAGAATTTCGTCCAAACACGTATGAGCAGGCAGCAAAGAAGGCCAATAGTTTCTACAACTCTTTTATGTGTTTGGGGGAAAAATGGCAGCCATATTTAATCAAGTAATATCCCTGATGTTTTCTCTGTTCACGTGAACTGCTTATACTATTTCCAGGAGTAAATTGACTCGTCCTACATGTTGTAAAAGGTGTGTGTGCGCATGTATATTGGATTTATTACAAAATTATATTATATCACAGCTATGTGTGTGCTACAACATTATTATGATTTTATCGCTATCATTATTCTATTGTTATAATAGAATATTAAAAGAACTGTGCGTCAAGTATTAAAATAGGATCATCTTTGGATCTTATATAGTTCCGCCTTCTTTCAAAACGTTTCGTTCATTGCGTTTCTCTCCCCAACATTTTACTTCGATAATAGAGTCTCTCATCCACGAGACAAACGGCCAAAGCAAAACTCGAGCTCCTCCGAGTTTCCTCGGTGCTTTTCTTCTGTCTTTTTTTTTTTTCAAACTCGACGTTACGTCGACATAATCCAATAAATACATAATCTCGCATCGTCGTACGTATTACGAGAGGCGGGCCGAGTAGATCAAAGCACGCGAGCGGACGCTTTACGATGCTTTTATGTCGGGACTGCGCTTCGAGCTACGGAAAGAGAGATTAAACGCAAACACGAATGGTACAACGAATCGGTAAGGTAATGCCGAAACGTATTGACTCACGTGTACGCGGAATATCGCAAAGAGACGTATATTAGTTACAGAACTACTACGCTTCCGCGCGGCGAGCCACGGTGAACTTCTCCGCAGAAGAGTGTCACGAAATCTGTGCGCCTATACGGAGAGAATTTTGTAGTAAAAAATACTATGGAGAGAAATTATTCGATAAAAAAATTTACAACAAACGAATATTTCCGATCAATTTTTATCCGATCAGGATGTCCGATTAAATTTTATCGGATACTTCCGATCCGATCACGATGGCATTTCATTAGATAAACCAATCAAAAAATTACAAACCGATATTTTTCATCACATGTTTCCCGATCGAATACAAGAATTCATCGGTATTTTCGGAAATATCCGTTTGTTAATTTCTCACAGTACTGAATTATATTGTAATTGAAATAAAATATCGATACAATGCCTTGATTTATTATCCTCCTGTCTCACGTGTGTTGTTTATGTTTCAGAAACTGTAAATCTGCTGTTAAAAAATTTACTGTTTTCCAGCAAGATAAAATTCCACTCTACGGTTTACTCCTGTCTTACTAGAAAACGCTTCATAAAATTAAAAAGAATTTATATGAAAAAAAGCTGCATACATAAATATTTTCTGTGTGTGTGTACACATATGTACATCTGCGTAAAAAATGCTGCTTTTTTCTCTAACAATTTCTCGCAGATACACATGCATATGCGTATAAAAGCCGGGCGGAAATTCTTCGCAGTTTTTATTTTAAATAGCCGAAAAATTGCGCGAACGCGCGCGCGAAATCAATTTCTCCCAATAAAATTCTCACCCCCGGAAGTTTTCGCTGTATGCTCCGCCGGTGTATCGGCGATTTTTTATTTCGCGCGGATATTTCGCAGCGAAATTTTTCGACCGATGGCATCCGCGCACGCACGTCGTTATACCGGATAAATTTCTTCGGCGTTGACGTCAGTCCTCGGCTGGGGACCGATAACGATAGGAGCGATACATTGAAAAAGTCATATTCTCCTTTTAAGTAAGTCCACTCACATAAAGAATATCCTCATCTAAAACACCAAAAGAATATCGTCCTCTAGACACCAAAAGGATTCTCTTACGTTAAGTACACGGAGAAAAATAATTGCTCTTTTAGCAAAATCGTATTCGTAGTGACAACAACAAAATTTAGTTGACGTAACTTTACAAATTATTCGTTATCAGAGCAAACGCAGTTTCGTTGCCAGGATAAAAAAATTTGTTGAGTGTATTTGTCCTAAGAATCACGTTAATTTGCTATCGATGCAAAATAATGTATCCTTGGCAAATTTATTTGCTATCGGAGAAAAACTGCAACTGCTTATATAAATCCATCGTGGTTTTTACAGCAAAATAAT